AGTGGTGATCTCTGATTCTTCCCGTCCTTTCGAAGATAGTTCCAAATGAAAGAGAGTCCCTGATTAGCAAGTGAGAGTTCCTTTCAACAGCTCTAAGAAACTGGTCAACTTCTGATGATAGAAAGATGTCAATCTGAGGAGGGAAGATGGAAACAAAGCTAGACACAAGACACAAACACAACAAATGGTCTGACAGTTGGAATTTTTGGGAGAAGCTGTCACATCCTTGAAATTCAGGGTTTTTATTATTTTCTGTTATTGATCACCAATTCTGATAGAAAGCAAGAACGAGAAGCAATTAAAGTAGTTAGTCACTTATGTGTAAGTGTAATAAGACTTAAATCATGAAAGAGGTCAAAATTGACATTTAATTTGAACATTTTAACTGAAGATGGTTGATCTTTGGACTTATAATATTTATTCTGTTCTTTTATAATTTATATGATAAAAGAATCATCTCGTGTTCTTCATACCTAAAACTATTTCTATCTCCCTCTTTTTTCTCATCAAAAAATATTTTAATGCAAATTTTAATGAGGAGTTTGGACCTGTCCAGAGCCTCTGGCCTGTGACCATCTATGTCAATTCAAAAGCATAGATGACAAATAAGATTTTGAAGCTTTCTGCATATTCTTAATGCATCAATCAGTGAACAGGGCAGGAAATGTTAGACTAGATTTGTTTGTCAGAGAGATTAGTAAAACCTAGTTAGACTCGCATAACTGGTTATATAACAAAGAAACAAAGAATACACAAAGATTACACTGTCTTCACTCACAGAAAGTCAGTGCTGAAAAGGAGAGAGTGAAACGAGATCACCATCTCTAACAGCTCCCGGAGGGGTCAACAGCACCATTAACCTTTTATTGCGTAACAGAAGAATGTTTACAAAACATCATGACACAATGCGTTGTATGTAATGATGTCATATAACATTTGACAATAATTTCGATCGTTGATTCCAACAGGAAAATCTTCCATTTTGTAGATAATTGTGATGCTCATTCTCCAGACATATCCTTATTGAAGAGTTTGAACGTAGTTTTTTTTAACCCCTTGAACATCACTAATGTTGTAAGCATTTGATCAGTGGGTTTGATCAAATGCTTTAAGCAGTTATATAGGAAGCAAATATTGAAGTGGATTGTATATTTAATGGATACAGGGAAATGGTACAACTCAAGATTGACAATGTGCAAGCCATTCTCATCACTGTTTCAGTTTGACAACTAGTGACCCAGTTTACAATCAGAACTGTTTTGGAAATATGGCTATACGAAAAAGAATAAAGAAGGGGTAAGACATGATTTCAGTAAATGGAAGTATTGAGGATAATATGCAAAATGAAGACTGAACTCAGTTGGGAAAGCACTGCTGGTGTGGACCTACATGTCTATGGAACAGGAGCTCACAACTTTCTTTTGTTTTCATTTTATATAGATCTCTGCATCTATCATTTTCCTATATCCACAGTTTTTTCAGGTCTCCCAGCAAAAACAATAAATTGAAATTTCACTGTAATTCAGTGATCCGCGAAATGTGTTAACTAGTTAATAAATTCAAAAATGATTAGATACTAACCAATAACACAAATTTTAACAAATGTATATTTCAAAACACCTAAATCAAAGATGCAAACTTTAAAAATTATCAAAACAAGATATAACAATAAATAAGAGGTATTTGGCTTATTTCAATTAATTATTTTAATTATGGTTATAATTTTTTAAAATTTTTATAGTATGTTCCTGTGTTCTTAAATGGAGTAATAATGAAGACAAATAAATTACAGAAAATTTGACTAAACTCATTTTTTTATTTCTATTTATTTATCATGATTATTCTATATATTTATAGATTCACTCCTGTGTTAATGTACTATTTTTAAACCTGAATTTCATACACTTGTAGAATTTATCTGAAAGATTTCAAAAATGAAAAAGTGTCTTGCAAAATTATATAAGTAATTATTTATAGATTAAATTGCAAAAATTAATTCACAAATTGCAAGATTGAGAAGAAATACACCATCTGAAAGAGCATATTATATCCAATACTGTAGTAGTTGAACATATTCTAAGTACAACTTTTCTTATTTTATGCTTTAAAATTTCTTGTTTGATTCATAATATTTACTACTTAAACATTAAATTTGTTAAAAATACAAAGTTAAGTCTTTTCAGTCTAAGCATACAATTTTATTTATTGTTGTTTAATACATATTAAACAACAATAAATAATATAGAGATAAATGAAGAGATAAGATATCCAAACAAAAACATCTGAGATGTAAAAAAATAATAATAATTTAGATGACAGTCAACTTTTTTCTTAGGAGGTTTTTTGGTCAAGATAAGCTTAGTGCTTGGAAGCGGAATGTAAAAAGCAATAATACAGATAAAAATCTTGTGGGTACCACTTTGAAGTGCCAAGTTTATCTTTAACTTGGCACTTCAAAGTGGCAAGTTAAAGATAAACTTGCCACTTTGAATTTTTTTCTTAGGAGTTTTTTTACTCCTAAGAAAAAAATTTGACTGTCATCTAAATTGTCCTAATTTTTTACTTAGTGCAATTTTTTTATATCTTATATTTTTTACTTGGATATCAATTGTTTATGGTTAATGATTGTGTTATTACATCAAGATGCAAGACAATAACATACAGTTTGGTTGGCACTTGGAACAGCCAGCCATGGACCAAATGTTTTCAACATGCCATTTAGTAAAATCATTATAAAAAGTATTAATTAGCATAAATTTGAGCTTTTGTTATTCTGGATAACAGTTTGAATGAAAATTATTTATTTCAATGTAATTTAATCCTTATAAGCACAAAATTAAGCAATAAAAGTAACATAGCTCTATGGTGGAAACACTGTGAACTTTGACCTATCAACTCAAAGTTTTGCAAGTATCTCATTGATAATGAGAAAGGCTTAAGCTTAAAATTTGAGTTTTCTAGACCAAGTATTTCTTTTCTAGGAGCACTTTCAGTGCTAGATGAAGAAGAAAATACTGCTTTTTTGGCAAATTCTGCACTTTTCAATTGCTTATATTCCAGCAACCCCCTTATAGAAAAATCTGAAATTTTACACACTATCTAAGAAAAAAATTATCTTTAAAACAAGTTATTCAAAATTATTTTAGCATTTGCAGGTAGAGAAATCAATCACCAAAAATTGGCAACTTGATTCCTGTATTTATAGTCAGTCACCGACTTTTTACTTACAAGTTAGCATGGAATCATTGCCACGACTCTTGATATAATAGTAAGATATTGCATTAAAAAGCAATTAAAAAGCTCAATTATTAAACAAAAAATTAATCTAAATAGTTATCTTTCTGTAATAACTGTACCAAAAAACTCAGGTATTTTGCATTACCGTATTTTTTTTTCAAGTTAAAACTTTTACATTTTATAGTAAATTCAATAGAGAAAACTGCATCTAAAAGTAATTACAAACTTACGTAATTTGTTTATTTGTATAATATAATATTCAAATAAATAAAAAACATAAATTATGAATTTAAAAAAAATAATGTCACATCCTTGAAATTCAGGGTTTTTATTATTTTCTGTTATTGATCACCAATTCTGATAGAAAGCAAGAANTGTAATCATTTTTATAATTTGAATTTCATATTTTTTGATATCTATATTTGATTACAACTACAGTAATTTATAATTTATTCCTAAATATTTCCCTATTTTCTTACCAAATTTAACAAAATCAATACCTTTACTGCTGACCAATTTTCTAAAATCTCTTGGCGATTTTTTTCTTCTATTTTTTTCTGAGCTTTGTCTTCTTCAATTAAATCTTTATATTCTTTAAGCTATTTGAACAATTATTAATTTTATGTATACAATAATTTAGTTTAATGTAAAATAAAATAACATAAACAATTACAAGAGACATTGATTTCTCAAGATCTTTCTTAGCTTCTTGTTTCTCTACATTAAGCTTTGCAAGTTCATTATCTTTTGCAGCAATAAAAGATTTAGATTTCTCTATCCACTTTTCTGTTTCATATTGAAGATACTAAAATATATTGTGAATAATCATAATTCAATAAAACTGGCAATTAAATTAATGAATATTTAGATAACAAAATTATTTCTTTATATAATTATTTAAATACAAAATTATTTCTTTATAAATTCATATATTAATTAAAAAATAATGTTTTTTTTTTTAAGTGTTAAATATTTTCATAAATTATTATTATTATTATTATTGTAATATTAACCAGATACATTTATTTATTTACATAAATGAATCAATGTTTATATGCTGACTTGATTAATTTTTACATGCTAAGGGTTATTTATTTATATTTTAGTTAATTATATTAAAATTTAAATTAATAACTCTAAAAATGAGTTTGCTATTATATAAATTATTAAAACAAAAACATGGTCTATAAATATATGATATAACTAGATAAATACAGAGAAAAAAGAAAGAAGATATGAAACCATTAAACTACTCTTAAAAAAAAGCAATCTATCTAAAAATATAATTAATTTACTACTATTAAATAATCTGCAATGAGCTACAATCAGATGAATTTATAGAGAGAAAAAATATGAAATTACTTTCCAAACAAACTAATAGTTTGTTTATGTTTCGTTTTATCTGAGTTGATCATATAGCTGATCTATTCAAAGAATTTTGTTTCATATATCAACTACAAGATAATGTGCATAGATTTTTGGCTTTTGTGCATAGATATTAAGCTTTTGTTTCAAGTTTAGTGGAAGAAATATTGTATGCATAACTCAATTTATAACATCCTAACTGAATTGTGCTAGAAAACATTTTACCTAATGACTTGTGGCAGTCAACATGTTAAGCTATCATCTTTTCCAATGTTTTCTTATAATACTTTTTATTTCATTTTATTTATTTTTTATGAGTGTTTCTAAGAGTTAAAAAAAAACATTTAATCTGAATTTGCCTATATTTTTCAATATATATGAATTATCAATTTTATAGCTTATTGGATAATTATATCTCTCTGAAAAGAATCAATTTATATTATATAATTTATGTAATATAAATTGCATGAAGTGGCATAACTACTGCTATTATACATGCAGTGATGTAACTACTACATATAGTTAGTTAAGCACTGCATAAATGCCTATAATGTTAGGGGCCCAAAGAGAATTTAAAAGAGTAAAATTTTCTGACAAAAGAAACAAGTATTATGTAAATTATACACGTGTATTATATTCTTAATAAGTGCTCTCTAGTAGTCAAATGGATAAACTAAACACCAGTAGTTAGTTTGTCTTGGGTTTGGGCATGGCCACATGCAGATTTCTGGATTTTCTTCACACTAGCAACATCTAATTAGGGGCCAGCCTTACATACAAGTCTTTTCAAAATGCATCCCCTCTGCAGATCGTTCACATGTCACATTGCCATAACCAAATAAACCAAACTAATTCTAATGAGCAATTATTTAGTGACATAATCGAAATGCAGAACTGCAACTTTTTGTCACAATGTTCTCAATTCTTTTAGTGGTGTGTTACCCCTGAACATCATACTTTTCCTGTTAGCAAAAGAGTTGTGTTGGTTATCTATCTAACTCCGTTTGGTGGAAACTTTTGAATCTGAAATAATGTGACTTCCAGTCCAAACTGAAAGTTCATATATAGTTAATCTGCACTTCCTGCCCCAAGCTTTCCATATTTGGTCTCAATTTTCATCTATATAACTCCTTTCTCAAGATTAAGGAAGGACAGACAGTCAGAGGGGAGACAGTGAAAATTTATAGGTTTACAGTTTTTTCAAACTGCAGCCCAATAATTTTTCTATAAATGCAATATTTATGAGAAGATACTTCGCACATAGTTTAAAAAATCTGCTGCAAAAATATAAACACTTTATTACCACATAAAAGCAATTATTCTCGCATTTTGACAAGATTATTTTATTTAAACAAGTTTTATATGAAGACTCAGACATTAAGGTTAACAACTTTGATCACATGTACAACCTATCTAACATCACTTTTCAAATATTAATAGTAAACTGGTATTAATTAGTAGTCATTGACCATCCTCTCTTCCAGGAGGAGGTCAATGACTACTAATTACTGAAAGGGGTTTGAAGTAATTTGACTTTTGGTCAAATTACTTCAAAACCCTTTTGCAACAGTTCCTTCTTTCTATCAGGCCAGTGGATGGTGGCATTTGAATAGGAAAGTTACATAATACAGGGTTACTGGCAAGCATAAAATATGTTTCAATTAAGCAGTTTTCAAGGGTGTAAAGTTTAAATATTTATTCCTTTTGTTTGAAAAATTTGATTGGTTGGCAGATTACCGTTTGTTATTCAACTGTGAATGACACGATTTCTTAGAGTTAACATCAGGAAAAAATATGATATCTTAAAAAATTTAAAATATCATATTTTCAATTAATATCTACTTGACCAATGAAATTGTGCCATTTCATACCATCCAAGTATCATAATAAATGTGATAATGGTAGGCTGAAATAAGTAAACTATTTTATTTTTGTTTTAATGTTTGTTATATTATAGTATTTGATTTATATAACAAGAAAGGTTATCTTATGTAAGGGTTTATCATACCTAGTGACCAATCTAACACATTTTAAAATTCTTTATTCCTCTACTGTACACAATTTAAAGAATTTTTTTAAATGTGTTAGATTGGTCACTTGGTGTGATAAACTCTTATGTAAGATAACCTTTGTAATTATAAATCAAATACTATAATATTATATTATAGGGTTAGACATACAAAATAATCTAATAATTTAATCTTTGCTTTTACTTTTTGTCTGAGCAACATCGGGCTTGTGGCTGTACGCCATATTTATTGTAAATAATGATTTAAGTTTAGTTTAGTTTTTCCTTTCTACCCTTTTTTCTATTGTTCTATTTCCTTCTAGAATTTTCTTATCTAATCTTTTTCCCTAGGGTGGGATGACCAGTTCCAAGAAATGAAGGGAACAAAGGAGAGAACAGGACTCTGAGGACAAAAAGACAAGAGGCAGGACATTCTTTGCCAGGACTGGAACGTGTATGGACGTGGTGTAGAACACTCCGAGTCATGTTAGCAATGACCGGAGATATCGGAAAGAAGTTTAGAGAGAGGATCCTGTCTTAAGGTTGTGCCTTACGTCTTTTCTTGCCCCCCTTTGCCACATGGTGGGTCTGACTCAGTGGAGAGGAGTTATGTAATTCTGGGGTGTGTAACCATGGGTGGGAGTTTTATGGTAGGGTGTGTCTCGGGGGAGAAGAGCAGAACGGAAGTAGAGAGAGAACGGGAAAGTAGGTAAGTAAGAGTGGTTGTGAAAGTGCGTGAAAAAGGTAAAAAGATTGTGCAAGCAAGTCCGTGTGAGATTTCAGAATTTGGAACTGTTTTCTACCCAGAGTGAAGGAGAGGAAAAGATATGACAAAACCCCATTTCTGTTGGTATGTTTCTGTCTTCATGTTACTTGTGCTTGAGCAGTTTATTGTCGGGAGATTTTTGTTAATGATACGCGATGTACTAGATTTGTCGGACTGAGTATTTTCCTTGTCTCATCTTTGTCTTAGGAGTACTGTATGCTCCCAAGTATATTAAAGGAATATTTTGTAGAATTTGATAGTTGTCTTTGTCTAGTCTCTATTGAGTCCAGTGGATTCCCCCTGATAAGCGTCTGCTCCACCAAGCACGCTTGTTATAAATTCTCCCCTCGTAGAAGCACTTACGTTTTATTGTGTTGATTCATTCTCACGATATTTTTACCCACAAGGTATTATCAATGAGGCAATGGAAAGAAAATACTAAGCAAAAGAAAAGAAGACATGGTCAGGATTTTATTAAAGAATAAGACAATGGACCATTTATATAGGAATGTGTGGCATCCCATCCAACAAATAGGCAAAGAGTAATATACTGAAAAAAACCCTGGGTATCCCTTCTTCTACTATATATTCTTTCTTATATCCTCTTACATCTATCCTTTTTCTGTTATTAGTAATTAGTTAGTATTTAAGTTTAGTTTTAAGGTTTGGGATTGATCATATTGTCACGATAGGGACCCTTCTGTGTAGTGGATATACCAAACTATTGTTCGTGCTGTAAATTTGTACACCATCGTATTGTACAGTGACATTAGAATCCCTAATAGGAATCTGTATCAAAATGCAAATGCAAAATATATCATCTCATTGTTTTCATATCTTGTCTACCTTTGTGACTAACTCTAATTTCGCATGCACATCACAATCACAGGCTCATCTGCTAGTTACATAATATAATACACATGAATAAGGCAGTAAAATAGCCAAAAAGAATGAATGAAAGAAAATAGAAAAATATCAAGAAAAAGCAGAAACTTTCATATGATAGAATTTAAGAAAACTAACATTTGACACAGTAAAAATATGTTTTGGAAAAGCATTTATGAACTTAAAATATTGGAAAAATTGTTTTAATAAATATGAAGNTTAGTTTCATAACATAATTCTATAACAATCTTAATATTGTGTGCAAAGATAGATCTTGGAGTGGGGTAATTTTTAATCTACAGAAATACATAAGCAATACACAAAAATTTTATTGCTTTCGTAATTATGTAAAATAAACCAAATAAACTTACGACATAAAAATACAACAAAATTGAAAATTATAAAAATATTAATATATCAGTGGCATGCGGTGACATTTGATGATAGGAAAGCTGTGCCATCCCTGGATAGAATCGTTGGAAGCGTTATATGATATTTTGGTGCATAGCATCCATGAGTTAAACTGTGTGAGGTTGGTGCTCTGTAAAGGGCATGCACAAATGAGTACAATCTGGCTGCTTTACACCATTCAAATATTTTCATCATGGAAGCTATCCTGTATTCAACAATACAGCGCTTCCATTGGGAATATGCATATACAAATTTATATTCAAATATACAACAGCAATCTTATACATTGTTTTTCACGTGTATAGATATTTGTAATAAAACATATAATGCAGTTATAATAAAATATTAATTTTATAAATATAAAGTTATATCTCTAAGAATATTTAAAAATTTTTATTAGTCTTTTAATTACTTCTAATAATAAATACAGTAATCCCTTCATTTACACAAATAATTGGTTCCACGAAAACAATGTGCAAATGAAAATCATGCAAATGAAGCCATGAAAAGATGTTTAAAATCTGTTCCATATTCTCAAATACAGTATTTTATTCTTATTGGAGTAGAAAAGTTTTAACTAAAGAGTTTTTTAAAATATACATCTAGGTAAGAGATTACTAATAACAGAAACCTACTTTTTGATGTTATCATAATTTATTTCCATGAAGTAATTATTTAAAATTAATATGGTTGAAAAATTATTAAAAAGTGAATTCACATAAATGGAGGGATTATTATATTAAAACTAACTATTACCATAATTTTGTGCATATAACTCATGATGATGTATCATTCACAGAAAACTGTGAAAACAAAAATAAAGCCTTCAGAAAACATACCTCACCATATAACCCATGCTATGGAGCTGTCATTGCTCCATGGATAAGAGTTTGTAATTACAATTTAAACTGGTTAAACCACCCCTTTAAACCCACACCTTTTCAAACTGTGTCTTTTAACAGATATAACCAACAAGTTGTAATAAATGAAAAATAAGTTTTGCTAGAAATTTAATCAATTTTTATTTTTGTTAGCATCAAAAATTTTTAACTTTAATTACTAGTGTAATAACCAAACTAGAACAATTGAGATTATATATTACATATTTAACTCTATCAAAGGAAAATAATACAGAAATAGAAAACTCAAATATAAAAATATTACCAAATGTAAAAAATTAGATTTTTACAATAAATTTGAATAAAACTGCAATATGTGATAAACACAAAAAACAACTTTATGCAGATTATGTGGATAAGGGATGCTGAAATTCTTTCTTTCTTTTCTCTATAATCCTTATACTTAAGTCCAAGAATTTCAATACAGCACTTCTGACATCCAAAAGGTTTCCAATGACTTTATTTCATTAAATTATTATTACATATGCATTTTGGAACGATGTATACTTTTGTTTCCTCTTTAGTGCTACTTAGGTTAAAAAAAATAATAGTTNTATAAAAATAATAAAACACAATATCAAGTGTTATTATTATATTATGTTTTTATATAATTATGTTTTAGTTTCATAACATAATTCTATAACAATCTTAATATTGTGTGCAAAGATAGATCTTGGAGTGGGGTAATTTTTAATCTACAGAAATACATAAGCAATACACAAAAATTTTATTGCTTTCGTAATTATGTAAAATAAACCAAATAAACTTACGACATAAAAATACAACAAAATTGAAAATTATAAAAATATTAATATATCAGTGGCATGCGGTGACATTTGATGATAGGAAAGCTGTGCCATCCCTGGATAGAATCGTTGGAAGCGTTATATGATATTTTGGTGCATAGCATCCATGAGTTAAACTGTGTGAGGTTGGTGCTCTGTAAAGGGCATGCACAAATGAGTACAATCTGGCTGCTTTACACCATTCAAATATTTTCATCATGGAAGCTATCCTGTATTCAACAATACAGCGCTTCCATTGGGAATATGCATATACAAATTTATATTCAAATATACAACAGCAATCTTATACATTGTTTTTCACGTGTATAGATATTTGTAATAAAACATATAATGCAGTTATAATAAAATATTAATTTTAAATAATTCAAAGTACATTAAAATATGAAAATAATCACACAACATGTATTTATATTTTATAAAATACAAGGGAAGAAATGCTTCCACAGCTTCCGTGGATGGCACACTACTGTAATATATAAAAACTATTTAAAGAAATAATGATGCTATTAAGGATTTTTAAAAAAATTCTTAGGGTTACAATGGTTCCTACAGTCTCCTGTAAACTGTCCTTTATTATTAATTATTGTGATTGAATACATATCATTATTGATTTGAATATTATTTTTTAAAAAAAATATGTAAATAATTTAAATTCAGAACAAAATATCTTATGTCTACATTGTATAATTTCTGATATATATATATATATCAGAAATTATAATTAATAGAACCTGTACTATTTTCTATCTACTACTTAAATTATTAATTAACATTTGTTATTTCTGTTATAAAATATAAACACTTTATACTTTCAATAATTTTTTGGTTATAAATATTTTTAAAAAACAAAACATGAAATAAAATTTTTCATAGATAAATGCACCTCTAGTTGTTTTCTCTTCACATCCAATTTCATTGAAGTTCTTTCTTTACACTGTGCAATAGCATTTTTTGATTTATTTGACATGTATTCAACTTCAATTTGAATTCTCTTTTTTGATTTTTGAAGAGAATGCTTCTTATCTGCTATTTCAATCTCCTTTTCTTGTAAATTATTTATTGTATTTTGTACTGTTTTTGTTATCTCTTCTTTTAATCCTTCTATAGTTTCATTCATTTCTAATTCTCTAAATAAAATTAATATCTTTAACAAATATATGCACTTTTAAAATAAGAAGATAAGGTTATAAAATGTAAGTATAATGTCACTTTATATGAAATTATTGATAGCTTCTTATCTATCTAAGATATTTTAAGCAAACAATTTTTGAATATAGTGCACTTTTTGATAATGCAAACCTGCACTAAATTGAATTTTGCATAATCCAAACTAATGTTGTTAATTTTATCACTAAATGTTCCAGTCCAAAACAAAAAAGGAATTATAGATTATTTTTTAAAAAGAATGAATTTGTAAAATTAATATTTACTACATATTTTAGCATAAACATATTTAGCAAAAAATGGTACAAGAATTTTTTAAAAATACATATATTTATTTGCAGTCTTATTTGACTTCCAATTCTTTGTGTATAATCACTAACCTGAACTTTTTGATAATTCAAACAACTCAGTGCAAAAATTAGTTTGGATTAAACAAAGTGCACTATATCCTTGAATGCAATGGATGCAAATTAGAATATTTATTGTAAGCCAATATGAATAGAAATTTGAATTAAATGATGATAAAAAAAATATGTTCAATTTCCAGCAATAACCATTTTCAAAGCTCTAAGATATACAGTGGTACCCTATACTTCAGAGTTCAAATGCTAAATTTGATGAAATTTGCTTCAGAGTTCAAACAATGCTTCAAAGTTCGAACTGCACATGTGAAAAAATGCACTCAAAGTGTAAATGCAATTCTGTTATGTGTCCAAATCATCTCTTGCTTTCACTCTCACATTATGCTATGTTTTCAGTTCTTAAAAAAGAACTGAAAACTTTATTCTTGATGTGTTTGGTTATATATATTCAGTGTTATTCATCAATTTTTAACAATTTCTTCCTGAAATTTTTCTCAGTACAGGTTTTAAGAACTGTGTACATTTTGTATCTTTCAGTTCAAAATTCCTGAACAGAACTTTTTAAACGTCATCCTGACATGTTTGAAGTTGAGAAGCATCTTTCCCATACACATTATGAATTCTTTTACAGTTTGTATGGTGTTATATCTTTTCTGAAACTCATAAAGTATAATATGCCTAATATGCTTTTTATCCAAACATATTTAAATTTAATTTTATTCATATAAAATATAATGTAAAACGTTTAAAATAATCTTCTAAGCAAAAAATACAATCCCACATTAGCAATAATGTGTGATTTAATTATAACAGTTGTGAAATTTAACTCATTTACTAACAGCTGTTATAAATATGCAAAAACTTTCTATTCAACCCAATATAACATTTACTTATTAATTCTGGCATCCAAGAAGTGTGTGGAAGCAACAAAGTCTAAGAGGAAGATTGTAATATTGACGATTGAGATGAAAAGGAACTTATTACAAAGCATGAAAGCGGTAGATGTGATGTATCTAGGGCCTATGTTTAAGGTGCGGAAGTAAACAGTGTGCAACCAGTAAATGCAATTTTCATTTTATTATACAGTATTAATGTATTTTATTTATTGTTTTTGAGTTTTAATTTATTATTTTGGTCATTTAATTGTGTTATTTTTACTTTAAATTATGTGTACAGTATTTGCTATTTTAAGTTTATCAAAATGGATATTGTTTAGTGTCTGGTAATGGATTAATTCACTTTCCATTATTTACAATGGAAAAATATCTGGACTTCAAACAATTTAGTTTGAACAGCATCCTAGAATAAATTAAAATTCAATTTTTAAATTTGAAGTATGAGGTGCCACTGTAACACTTTTGTNTCAATTTTTAAATTTGAAGTATGAGGTGCCACTGTATATATATATATATTAGTTTTTATATAAATATATATTTATTTATATAAAAACTAATTTGCTATAGAAATTGTTTTTTCAATTTTAATGACATATCAAAGTTGAAAAACACATTATAACTTGATAGCTTTGTATAGTATTCATCTCAAAACGAGACCAAGTTGTCTATATTGATCATTATATTTTCAATGAAATCACTTCAGATACTACACTCATTGAAAATATTTAGTAATATCAATATTTCACTCAATATTTTCAATATATACTCACAATTTCAATATTTTACAAGATTGTTCATTAATATTGATATTGATTCATTAATATTCAATACAATATAGATATGATTAAAGTACTAAGATATTTCTGTGTTGTATAACATTTCAACATTTATATGTAAAAAATACACATAATTTAAGAATATTGTAATTATGTTATCATATGAAAAATAACATAATTATGTTATTTTTCAAAACCGCAATGCAGCGTAATAATCAACACTTGGCATAACTCATTCATTATTGATTATTGATTCATTCATTCATCATTGATTATTACGCTGCATTGCGGTTTTGAAAAACAAATATAAAGATACAACACGGTTTCGAAATATGGAAGTATGTTATCATATCTTATGAAGAAATTAAACAAAACTTTAAAATGTTGCTTAATTTTTCTTGTGTCAAAAATGAATTTATAAACAATTAAAATTCAACAGATTTTGACTTTTAAATATCTTTTTATAATAAACAATTTTTGGAAAATTATTTTCAATATTTAAGTTAGAACTTGAAAGATTATAACTTTTTCTTGGTGTCATCCAATATGATATTTTGTTCTTTTTCATATGAAATTGCTTCTAGAAGACTGTTATAAGTTCTTTCCTTTATAAGTTCTGTTTGTATTCTTGATATTGTTTTTTCAATATAATCTCTGCAAAATACAGTTTTTTTAAAATTATTTCATAATAAACATTTTAAGATAAAAATAAATTTTTATAATCAGTTAAAGATATAATATTTTTATTACAGTAGAGCATCGATTACCCAAAACAATTTGGGACTGGGGTTGTTCAGATAAGTGATCATTTACAAAAACATATTAAACACAAAACTGTACTGTATATAATTTGTATCACATGTCTTACAAATACATACCTTACATAATGTAATACATTAAACTAGGCCTACAGTTCAATTTGGCAGGGAGTGGAAGAGGGCTGCAACACCACAGCCCTAGCAAAAATTTGAATTTGCTGACTGGAACACTTTTGGTTAACTGATGTTTTGGTTGATCAGTATTCAGATAATTGATGCTCTTTTAAGATTTTTATTTATGATATATTTAATTATTCTAAAATTTTAAATATTTTACTTACACATTACTATTATTATTATTATTAATAATGTATTTTATGAGCAAAAAATTCTACTGAATATTTTGGAGTTTATTAAATTTTAATACAAATCATTTTTTTAAAATTTTCTATTTTAACATAAATCAGGGGTGTCCAACCCGCGGCCCGCGGGCCGCATGCGGCCCAAGGCAAGTTCCAATGCGGCCCAATAAACGTGTAAACAAAATCGACAAATGTTTTAATATTTTTATTATTTATTTATTTCAACGGCATAAACTCAAAAAAACAAGTTTCACAAAGCTGTTAACATTTATTCATATTTTATTTTTGATTGAAAAGAAAATATTTTCAAATACTTGAATACTTGGAGATGTGTGAATGAGGAAGAATTACTAAATAAAGCTGGAGTTGTGACTCGAAGGATTATAGACCCGAATTTGGGAAAAGGAGAGAAAGGACAAAAGATAAAAAGTAGTGAGAAAGGTTAAATAGATCTTCTGTTATGCAAATATTGACCATTAATTTTCAAATCTTTCTCACTTCTTTATCTTTTGTTGTTTCTCTCCTTTTCCCTTTATAATCCTTTGAGTCACAACTCCAGCTTTATTTAGTATTTTTTTCCATCGTTGCAAGATTTGGCTACATTGCGCCAAATGTGGCTACTTTTTTTAGTTTGACGTAAAAAATATCATTTGGCGCTTTGGCTATTTTTTGGGGTACATATTATTTATAAATATATTAGTTGAATAAAAATGCACTTTAAAATAGTGTTTCGTCGCTTTTTATTAATTAGAGATCCAAATAAAATAAATATTTGTGTTTTTCAAATAAATTTTCGTTTGTCTCTTTTATAATAAATGAATTTATCCATTTCTAAGTAAAAATTGAAAGTGTCTGTAGAAGTAATTTTTTAAAATATC